CCACTGTCTGGGGACAGCATTTGTAAGTCCCCTGTACGCCAACTGTTCTGGATTACAGCGCAAAGTTGACATCAAGGGTTCAGGAAACTTGAGAAACGCAAGCAAGCTGACCCACGTGTTAACCCAACTCGTGTACTTCCAGCCGACAAAACCGGAGGCGTCGCTGGAGGTGGCGGATTCTCTTAAAATGGTTTTTGTTGTTGCAGTTTGGGGTTTAGGGTCAGGGTTCTTCTTACAGGAGGGTCCAGGTCTTCGGATTTCCACGGGCGCAATGCCCACGCAGAGCAGTTGCTCACATGTTTGAGCTTCAAATCAAGAGCACAGCCCCAGGCTTTAAGATTATTGAATCAGCAAGCCTGTATGCATGTGCGGAGCCCTGGACTCGGACGGTGGAAGTTTTCCTGTTGTGTTTTAGTGCTGTCGGTGCGTGATGCCTTCTGTCTGATGCGCACGGCTGCGAATGACCTTCCAAAGCGAAGTGTTTAGAGTATGTCCCGATATTTTCCAAAGCACTACACACCCTCAGACTGTAAAGCTTGGAAGCCCCAGCAGCGTAAACTTAGGATCAAGCCTCAACAGCTCCAACCCAACGCTCGAAACGAAACAAGAGCTGACACAACACTGACAGCGATTACTTGGTTTCCGAACCTGCAAGCCCTGCAAGACCCGTGGTTATGATTTATCATGAACGTCACAGCTTCTCCAGATCAAGTGCAGCATCTGATCAAGTTTGCTGTAGAGACCATCGTGAACTAAAACCCTGACGCCGTGTGCAAAGGACGGGCGAGGGTCCCAAGCATCTCGGTTGCCTGTATGTGGTATCATCTTCCACAGTGTTGCATTGTTCAAGGCGGGAGGCGATGGAACCAAAAAGGCTTTACGGTGCAGGGCAAGGCTTGATGCTTGTGTTCCACAGCCCTGAACCCAAAGTAGTCGGATAGATGACGTCCGTCATGGTTCCACAGCCCCCGACGATGACAGACTTGCTCACGCTGACAACTTCGGGTGCTGAGCTTTGGGAGCTAGTGATTCCGACTACAGGATTTTGGACTTTGAGCTTTGGAGGTGTTGGTGCTTGAGGCACGAATGAACTCTTGATGGTTGTTGACGAAGGTTTGGGATGTTGTCGCGCCGAGGTTTCACAGGGAGATCTCCAAGAACTCTCACTGAGCATTGATCAGTGTGCATTGCCCGAGCTTCAAGTTTGTGTGTGTCATCCACCCCCCGATTCTTCGAATCTCACCAACCGAGACGACCGCCAAGCTGCAAGGCCCAAAGGTCCAAAAGCAGGGCCTCCCCGCTTCTCCGTTGTTACGTCTTTCTCCTGTGGCTCTGGATCCCAGACGCTACTGGGGGGTCTTGGGATGAAGTGAGGTTTAGGGGCCCAGGGGCTGCAGAGGCTTGACAAGCTTCAAGTATGTCAGCGAACCTTAGAGGATTGCGGTATAGGAGTGTTCGGAGTTCAGACGTCAGCCAAAGGCCTCAAACGCTAGATTTAAATCATAAGCCCTCCCTCTGCCAAACCGTCAACTCCCGCCTAAACTAATCTCCCCTACATCCTAAAACGTGTGGGGAAAGCCCGAGGTCGATGAAAAAAGGCGGCTTTTGCCCCGCGGCTCCCCTCGTGGCCTCAGGCATGTGCTCCTCAGCTTCGACGAGCCCCGAGTGCGGAGTCGGTCAAAGTCAAGCATCAGGACAGGGTAACTTTGCATGGGCACGGGGCGGTACATGAAGGTATTGTAACATAGCAAAATATTATATCACAAGATATAATATACATAAAGGAGTAGTCAACGCGCAGTCGCGCAGCAGTTCACACCGTTCATGAACGAGGATGACAATGAGCGCAACGAGCGCAGGCAGGGCAACATGGTCTGAGGGCCTACACCCAAATCCTGAAAACCAATGTAGGGGTTATCGGTGTCGAAGCACTAATTAACGATCATCCTGGCCTGCCCCAGACCACTCATTCCTCAACCCCACACCCGAACCGTCAGTTCCCAAAGCCTGTCAACCTCTTCACCCCCAAGGTTTTAGAGAGCATCGTTGATTTTGTGCCCCTGGCGCACCACCTTCCATGACATTACGGCCTCTATTTCTCCGGACAACCTATCGCGAAACCTGCTGCATGGTTAAGTGCGCCGGTCAAGCCAGAGTTCCAGGAGCTCGCAGCATGGCCCTTCGCAAAAGTCGCAAGGACTCTTGTCTTACTGGGAGAAGTTTTCCGGGTGCAGGGAAAGACGCAAGATGCACACAGTGTGTACGTGCGAGAGTGCATATTGTGCATGTTTTTCGTTTTGTCATTGATATGTGTGTGTATATATATACATATAGCACAGAAGCCGCTTACACATATATGCAGATAACTACTCGCAAGTTTCATACACAACTCTGCTCGAAAGTGAGAGCATAGCTCGAAAATTTAAAAAGTCTTCTTGTTGAAGGGCGAGCCTGGGTTCTCCTGATCTGTTCCAAAAATCTAGACTGAATGAATCTTGCTGAAAGCATCTATTAGCACCAGGGGGAGTTTTGGAGTGGGCTTTAACATTTAGTGTTCTCACATAGAGGTTTGGGCTCAACTGGGCATCGTGGAGTACGGATTTCATTGAAGAAGCTTGCACATGCACAAATCTGAGGCGCATCAGCGTTTACAGCTACAGTCAGAGTCAGAATATTGCTGGGCCCATATCCCTACACCCTACACCCCTAAGCCCATAGCCATGATTACAGGGAAGCTGGTAGATCAGGTACACCGGCCCAGGCGGCAGTCGAAAGCTTAGCTGACAAGCCGCCGGCACTGAAAGACCCGAGGCATGCCAGCACGCAGTTGTAGGCATTAGGGCGTGGAGTTTCTATCGGATATAATATAATATAATATTATATTATATTATATTATATTATTTTATTTTATTTTATTTTATTTTATGTTATATAATATAATATAATATAATATAATGTAATGTAAAATAATGTAATATATATATATATGTACACATATACATATCTAGGCAGTGCATGGGTGGTATGTAATTTTCTATGTGGTCTTGAGTGTGAAGCCTGCAGTTTTCTGCTCATGGTATACAGTATCCAGAGAGTAACGAGAGTTTGTTGATGGTATATAGTTTTGAGTATGGACTTAGAGCAGAGATTGTAGAGTGGTACAGTATTGGGCACGCGTTTGAAAGAGCGTGCGAACGGTTCCCCGGTTTGAGGCTCGATGCGAGAGCCACAGAAGACTTTTCTAGGGCCCGAGCTTCTCAACAGGGGAGATTTATGGCTTAGGTCTTGCTCATGTTTTGAGATGCTTCACGCCTTAAAACTGAACTTTGTAGGCCGGGGCGCGCAATAGCGCCCATATGCGGGCTGCTCTCCGTCCCTTCAGAGTCGTTGTTTTGTTCGGTCACAGGCAAGCGGCTCTCAGACGAGTCCCAGCAACCCCGAACTGCTGACGTTTCTACTTGGAGTCCAGCCAATGGCCTCGGCAAGAACACGTCGGAGGCTCCGCCATTCGGCGATCCGAAGTAAGGGAAGCCGACTTAGGCAGACAGGCCCTTGTAGCTCAAGCAGGATTCGTACTTCTGGCGTCTGGCGATCAGGGTATTAAGAGTTGGCGTTTTGGTGAGTTTGCGATGCCTGTGTGTGTGATGCACCGATGGCTACCTTGCCGAGACCAAGCAACCGCTACTCAGTGTGTAGTAGATAGCTCACAATTTCAAACATGTATCTAGCATTGGCACTTTGTTCACCTACTGGGCTTGGGATCCACATCCTAAGAACAGCATGCGTGACACGCAAAAGCGTTTGCTTCTAGGGCCGTAAAATCAGTTCAAAGATGCTAGTGCTTCCGAAGCCAGTATTTTCCAACACCCGAAAGACTGAGTTGAAACGCCTGAAACCACAGCTGCTTGAATAGTGGCCTTGGCTAGAAAACACTTTTCCGGAATCAGGGTTGTGACGGGGCCTTCGTGTTTCTGCACCACGCTAGAGACCTAGATCCCTACAGCGTAAAGCTCGACGAACCCTAGACCTTATCCCCCAAACCTGGACCCTCGAGTCCACTGCCTTAGGTCAAAATTGTAAATCATGCTGTTTGTTTCTGATATCTTTTTGTGTTCGGTCAACTTGGATAGGTCCTGCTTCATTGTAACGATCACGGAAAAATGCGAAGGTCTAACATACTACCGGATGCATGTCACACTGCGATGGAAACGCAGGCACGCAATAAGAGGCGGTACACAGCCTAGGAAACCCCAACGAAACCTACAACTAGGCACAGTCCACGGCAGAACTTCTGATATCCTTCATCTTCTGCTGCTCGTGATGTTGGAGTTTCGGGAAGCACCCTGAAACTCTACACCGTGAGCCCCCAAGCCCGCAGGGGTCCGAAACCCTGAACCTAGAACTTTGGGGTAATAGTAGTCCGCATGAAATCTGAAGCTCAGAAGAGCCCTGCTTGAGGCTAGTCCCGGCATGGGCCGTAACGCAGAGGTCGTAGATTTGCTAATGATACAACCAAACCTAGACCCAATAAACTTCCCCGAATTTCTTCGCACCGGCCCATGGCAGCTGCAAGCGCCGGGAGCAACCGCTCCCAAGTCGAGACTTTCCCTCTTTTCCCGGCGGAAACACGGCGAGCCTGTTTCGAACACTGAGCCTGGAGCTTGGGATTGGGGCTGACTTTGAGGATTTTTCTTTGTTGAAAAGTTTGTGCCAGCGGCCTTTACATGAAGGATCTTGATAATTCCGGCAGAGGTTCAGAGGAGACTGCGCCGGGCTCTTGTTCAGAA